CTGGGCGCCTCCGATTTTCCGGCAAGGTTCAAACTTTCCGTCGCCGGCGTTGAGATTGCTGGTTTTTCCGGTATGAACCGTTTGCGACACCCTCTTTGTTAATTTAGAAATGCTAGATCTATTCATCGTAGCTCACGTTCGATCCAAAACCGGGTTCTACAAGAGGAAAAAAAAGAACCCACGTTATTCCCTTAATTCCTCGTGATTTCCCCTTCCAATTTCGTAGTATTATGGGATTGCAATTTGCGATTGTACAGATGAAGAATTTCTCTCTCTCTCTCTCTTTTGTTTTGATATTTTCTTGATTTTCCAATTATGTTTGGTGGGTTTGCAAAGGCTGTACAGTTAGGATTGTAGATGGTGTATGCTGGAAAGTGTTGTTGAAGGAAAAATCAGATTTTGATTCTGGGTTTGTGGTGGGGTATTTTGTTGGTGGTGATTTTGAGAAGGTGGCGAAAATGAGCATGAGTGTGACCGAGGAAGAATCGTAAAAGGTTTATCTCCCGGCCGAAATTGATTGGAAAATGCTTTTATATATGGCTGCCTTGGAGGTTACCAAGAGTAATGTGGGGACTTCTACGGTTAGGTTTGGTATTGGAGAACCTACAGCTGCGGCAATTGCCAATGCAGTTGCTGGCTTGAGTGCAGCCATGGCAGCTCAACTTGTGTGGACCCCAATTGATGTTGTGAGCCAGAGGTTGATGGTTCAAGATGGTTATAATTCCAGTAATCCTAAGGCTTCAGCTTGTCGATATGTCAATGGGATTGATGCCTTCCGGAAAATTCTTAGCACAGATGGCCCTAGGGGCTTGTATAGAGGTTTTGGGATATCAATCTTGACCCATGCACCTTCCAATGCAGTTTGGTGGGCTTCATATTCTCTTGCACAAAGGATGGTTTGGGGTGGAGTTGGGTACTACTTGTGCAAGAAAAGTGAGGAGAGGAGTGACACTGCAACTAATGTTAATGCTAGTGCTAGTGCTAATGCTTTGAGGCCAGATACAAAAACAGTAATGGCAGTTCAGGGACTCAGTGCAGCAATGGCTGGTGGCATGTCTGCTTTGATTACCATGCCACTGGATACAATCAAGACAAGACTGCAAGTCTTGGATGGTGATGAGAATGGCCGTCGCGGACCAACAGTTATGCAGACGGTGAGGAGTCTGGTTAAGGAAGGTGGCTGGATGGCTTGTTACAGAGGATTGGGACCTCGATGGGCTTCAATGTCAATGTCTGCAACGACAATGATCACAACCTATGAGTTCCTAAAAAGGCTTTCCGCAAAGAATCAAGAGGTTTTGACATGATGAATGATAGGTTTATAATAACAAAAAGGAAAACAAAGAGAAGAGGATGGTTTTTTCCTCTCTTCTTTGCCTAAATTATGTTCTTAGCTTCTCTCAACTTGTCTAGGTTATCTCTTCTCTTTGAGCTTGCCAGCATGACTGCTTGATCAATGTAAGTCATTGCAGTTTATCCTATATAAATAAAAAATTTCTTCTAACACATCGATATTTCTTAGTCACCATTGAAATCATGCATGTGCTTCATACTAATTTGGAAGTTTAATTAGATGATCATGAGCCAGTCTGGTTTTTTCAAATTGAATAGCATCTATTAGCTAATACAATAACTCTGAAACGTAAGAACCCTGTGGATTCCAATATTTTGTAGCTTTTGGTTTTCGGGTTGAATCTTGTCTATCATGTTATCTATTGAAAGCTTTTTAAAAAAAAGTGTTAGTAGAGTATAGCAGACACTTACCAGCATTCGGGAATCTTGGATTTTCTTTCACTCATGTTTTCCAACGAGGGAAAACATGACAGAATAATATTTCCCTTATTTTATTTGTATCTATGTTTGGTTTTTTGTGGATAAATTTAATTAATGGTGGGGCTACAACAGTGCGTGGACCCTGGGGTAGCAGTGTCGTTTACTTCAGTTGTTAATTACATAGTTGCCCACTACCAAGAAAAAACAATTACATAGTAGTCCTATTGGATCTATTCTGCAAAGTTGTACTCTGTATAATCTTGAACAGATTAATTTTTTTTTTTTTTTTTTGAGGTTTACCCCATAAGTTTTCATTAAAATAATATCTGCATATCAGCGCTCTTTTCCATCCATGTGCAGTGTTTAAAAAATCTGCCATTTATTAATTAATTTAACATTTCATGTTAAATAATGCTAAAATAAATCCTTGTTTTGTCTAGATCCATGTTACATTTGTGACAGGTTTAGATTCTGCTTTTGCCTGAGTCTTTAATTTCCACCTGATTGTCTTTATGTTTTGGTACAATAAAGTGTGATAGATTCTTTATGGATTTTATTAATCTCATGTTAAAAGAGATAATTATCTCATGTCATAGAGACAAACTAGTGGACTCCACCACCTGAAAAAAGAAAAGAAAAGAAAAGAAAAAGAAGACACAATTATCGAAGTGTGTGTAGAAGAGAAAATTTATGTCATGTGACATAAGAATAGTTTTTTCCATTGTTTATATGCAATAATCATGTTCCTACAAGAAAACTAGAAACACATTCACTTATCCAAAGAAATTTTTCTAAATCATTTTAAATTTTTTTATCTTTATATGTTAGTTATCATATGGAAATAATTATTTTAACCCAAAAGTTTAAATTTTAGATGATAATCATATTGATAATTTTTATATTATATTTCTTTATTTTGTCCTCTTATTTAAGAGTTTATTCGACTTAAAAATGAACAATGTACAGATTTATTATTTATGCTAAGAAATTTTAATATTTAATTGTGTTCGTTTTTTCTACAGTCAATATAGGTAACTTATCTACAGAGAGCCCAAAACGACGTCATTTTGAAGCGGAAATCGAGGTATTTTTGTAATTATAATTTATTTCAGGATTATAATAGTCTTTTTCGTTATAATTTTTTAATTTTTCAACCCAAAACGACGTCGTTTTAGGTGTGAATGTAATAATTTATCTACATTCACTTTAGTAACATTAAAGTCCTATTTAATTATTAAGTGGAAGAGAGCAGTTTTTAGGAGGTCGATCCATTTTTGTTAAGAAATTCAAATATTTAATTATTAATAAAAAAGAATTGAATCATTTGTACTAATTTTTTTATAATATTAATTATTAATAAAAAGAGAGCAATTGAGGATCTGACTATTGGGTCACATAGGTTTTATATCATATAAAACAATAATTTTAACCTAAAATCTTAAGTTATTTGGTAAAAATTATATTGATAATTTTTATATCATATTTCTCTAACATCATATCACCTATCAAAAATTTATTAGTAATAGAAATGAGTCATAAAAAAACTGAATAAAATAAATAGATCTCATAGGAATAACGCATAAATAAATGGATAATACACATATAAATATAAAATATATTTCAACTAGCAAATGCAACAGGTTTATCACTTTAACAATGAGAACAATTTTTTATTTTAATATTCAAAATTCATAGAAAAATTATACTCCATTCACTCGAGATATGTAGGAAGATGTTCACATTATACTGTCTTCTTTTTTATTTTTTTGGTGAACTGTCTTCTTTTTATTTTAAAATATTACACTTCCTTAAGAGATTAATATGTGTCACATTTTAATTTTAATTTTTTTTTTGGCGAATATGTGTCACATTTTAATTTATTCGATGTGAATGACTCTTTCAACGATAATTTTTCTCTTCCTACAATTCTCAGTGTCTACCAATAACTAGTATTGAATTTCTATGATCGACTTTGAAACTTCAAAAAAGTAAAATGAAAACTTTATATGAAGCTCAAAACCTCATAGTTTGTGGTGTTCCAAACTTCTTAAAGTCAATAGTATGAATGTTAAAAAATAACTTAAGGCAATCCTCCTGAGTCACTAAGAAAAAAATCTTTTGAGAGAGTCGAATATAATTAAACGTCACAATTTTAGGAAAAAATATTTTTCATGTCGAAAGAGATAAAATTATTTCCAGAAATCTCAAAACAATGTTTTAGGATTTAGGGGGGGTGGGGGGGAATAAAAATTATTTTAGAAATTTTATTTTTTTTTTATCATGAATTTTATTAAAATATCTTGCATTTTTTTCCCCAAACTCCACATAACTTTATCTTGTTGCAATAGAAACGTTGATCTCTTTGTTTAAAATTTTAAATGAATTACTTAAAAATCAGAAGCATATCACAAAAGACCACGTAGAGCAATGTGTATTATCAAGCCACATGAATCAACTATACGAGATTGTTTCAACTTAACCAATGGTATCGAATTTGAGTCCTAGAAATTTTAATAGGAAGATTTTTATTTTTATTTTGGTATAACTTGGAAGTACCCCATTCAACTTCTTACGGTCACCTTGTCTTCGGGGTACGGCTCTGTGGGCTAGTCCCTCGGATGCATTGAGCTTCGCTATAGGAGGAAGGATGAGACTAATCCTCCGTTCGAGAAGGGAGGCACATCCTTTGACCCCCAATTTTTTTTCAAGAATTTGCTTAAAGTAGGGTTTGAACCTTTGATTTAAGCAAATCCTTAGGAGCTCAGTTGCCAAACCGTTTTAGGAAGATTTTTGTTGTCTTTATGATCATGTCTATTTCCACTGAATTAGTCAATTAACCGATGAATGGCGGAAAAATAACAATAAATGTAAAAGAAAAAAAAAAGCGCCCAATGCATCGCCTCACAATAAATCCATTAGAAAATAAAAAAGAACTAAAAAAATCGTACATTAGGGTCTCCTTAGCAGCCCAATAATGGTGCACGCTGGGGTCAGAATAGTTACCCAAAAGACACCACCTTACGTGGTCTGTAAAGACTGTAACGAGTCCATTGAAAGGCAAGAAATTCGTCCTTTGTTTCGTTTTTGCTTTGTTTTGTATCTCTAGTTAGGTTTCTTTTTCTTTTTTTCATGAGATTATCTATCAGTGATCCCATAGTTTTTTTTAGACTAATCTGGAGTTTCAGAACGGGTCCAGCCCAAAGATAATATAAGATCGAATACATGCTCTCACTCCACATGCTTAGCTGGATTTCTTATTCAATTCAGTGGCGGAGCCACGTTGGTGCCAGTAGGTGCTTTGACACTGGCTAATTTAGCCACGTTTATTTAGCTACGCTTGAAACGTAGCAAATCATGTTTCAAGTTTTTTGAAAATTAGCCATGTTTTGATCGTAACTGTATAACCGTAACTATTTTGGCACCAGCTGAATTTTTTGGCGCTGGTTAGAATGCCTTTCTGGCTCCGCCAATGATTCAATTGTATAAGTTTGAGCTTCCAATGGTGCAAGATAATATTGATTGAACACAAACTATAGAGTAAATGAATTTTCTTACTACAAGATGTAGTATGCAATTATTTGGGTTCATACACCGATACTAATTAGTTTGAGATAAAAATGATGTTGGTGTTGATGTATAGGATACTAAGTATGTAAAAATTATATCAAAACTTAATATCATGCCCGTGCTTACTTATCTTACATCTACTTCCTAAGAGATCCAAGGATGAAGACACTTACTACTAGAGAAAGTACGAACTTCTTACCTTTTAGTTGACAGAATGTTTATTAAAATATGCAGTTCTAGTCTGAAACCAATTTTATTTTATTTTTTCACAGGAAGGTAAGATAAAGCACAAAGCTCAATTTTCTCAAAAGGAATACAAACCCATTTGAGACAATCTCGCACATAAAGAATTAAAATTGGAATACACATGCCTTGTGAATGGTCACTGAAGTTACTGACTCGCTTTCTCCATCAATGTGGCCAAACATTCTTTCCAATCTGAAACTTTATTTTCCCCATTTGCCACCTCAAACATGAATCCAGTTTGTGGGACACAGTCCAAGGCAGCTACACACACAAAGGCAGCATCTTCTTTGCTAATACTTCCACTAGCTGCACAACCCTGTTGTAGTAAACATCAAATGAAATTAGAACAGTCAGCTCCTTCTTTTGCTTTAGGAGATTCCAAGTTGATGTAATAAATGATGATCCAAGCAGTTTGTATTTGGAAATGATTCCAAAATTTCAGTTAGCATATACACTTATGATTGCGTAAGAGGGTTGATCATTGAGAACATCCTTTGAAACTTCCATTTTGACTCTGTTGAGATATATAAAACCATTAATGTAACCTCACCCAACAACTTAAGTTTTTGGGTTGAATTGGTTCTTTATATAGAATCAGGTCTCGGTGTACCGGGTTCGATCCTCACCGTCCTCCCCCCTCCTTTCTAGTGGAATTTCTTTTTTCGCACAGATAGGTGGGCCTGTGCATTGTCCACCTTTCAAGCCCAGTGGGCTCTCGTGTGAGGGGGCGTGTTGAGGTATATAAAACCATTAATGTAGCCTCACCCAACAGCTTAAGCTTTTGGGTTGAATAGGTTCTTTACAGACTCAATTGTTTTGTTCATCAAAAAGAAGAAATTAACACTTGAAGTCTGTACCTTGTCGAAGTTAAAGCCTTGCTTCCCACCAGGGGTATCTTGTAATGCACCAGTCCTAATTATGGTGTAAGGAACTCCTGAAGTCATCAATACTGATTCATCTTGCTCGGTCAATTTCTTTGCATTGCTTTTCATCATATATTGAATGCCACTTTTACCACTATAAACTGACAACTGCAACTTTGTTAAAACAAAATGAAGATTGTCTCTCTGGTGCAAAGGAGTGTCTGAGGAAAAATAAAAGTACCTGTGATAAGAGGATTACATGTTGTACCCCTTGAAGGCTTTGAACACTGGAAAGAAAACCCTCCTGGAAAAGAATGAAATAATTTAAACATTTCTTCAAAAAAATTGTTTGCAAGCCAAGTCTCATCATTATTGCCCAAAACTGGGAGAGAAAAAAAAAATAAACAAATTCGAGTACTGGTAAATTGTTTGAAGGGAAAAATGAATTGCTTTACTTCGACTATAATCTGTATCAAAATGATTTTATCTCTTTTACAATTAAATAACAGCAGTAGACATGCTTATAAACTTTCTCTATGTCTCTTCAGTTCATCAGGACCGTGGTATCCTGGATACAAATGATTCTTTGCTTGTCATTTCATTTTCATAAAAATATGATATTTAATATAATTACAAAGGTCAATAACATCTTCCTCTCATAAGCTAAAAAGAGTATTGACTTGCTAGTTTTAATTTTGCTAAGGTGAACTGGGATTCTACAATGAAGTCAAACTTTATATTGCAATGACTTATGGAAGCTTACATTGGAAAGGCACATCAAAAGAGAAGTTTCACTCGTTTCCACACACAAAAAAGAATATAGCCTTGATGGAAAACTAAATTTTATTGAAAAATCTATGAAATAAGCAAATCTGGTTTATGTGTGTTTTATATGTTTGTTCCATGCAGTTTTTCTTTGTTTCACGTAGCTTACAAATGTCTAGAGAGGCATGGCAAGTGTGCATACATTTGGGCATATGATTGTGCGAACTCCTCTCAGAGCTTTCTTGAGAAATCGATTGTCACTTGTATCTCCTGCCATTGACTTTCCAACAAGCATTATGTAATCAATAATAAGAAACTAAAAATCAATACAGAAATTACAAAAACAATATTAAGTTACTATCTTCTAGTGGTTTTGCAAATTAACTTCACCCACCTCAACATAACTTCCGAAGGCTTCAAGCGCAACCCGTTTATCCTTCACCAGTGTCTTTACTCGAGTTCTTTTCACAATCAATGACAATATCACCATCTGCCTAAGCCAGAAAACAAGGCTTAAAAGTCAGAATTCATTTATTAATGTAAATCAATCAAGATAATGAATGCAGCACATTTATGAACTACATGATTCTAGAATTTGAAGCAACTTATTGACTATAAAGATAGAGATAACAGTTCAAGTTAATGTGTCAGACAATTTACTGCCTAATATCATACAGTTTGGACACTGTATGGCCCTCCCTTTTTATTTTATTTTTCCTCTTAGGTAGGAGTAATTTTTCCACTCAAAATATTACTCACGTTTAGCAGAAGGTTTCCGAAAATTTTCGCGTGAATCTGATTTTCCCGAAATTTTGTTATGTATAATTTTTCTTCCAAAATCTCATGCAAGAATACCACCAAATGGGTGGTATTTTTGGAATCCTAGGTGTTGGAAAAATTTTATACTTTTTCTTGGGACAAAATTCCAATAATATTTTGACCTACCAAACAGCTTTTTGATAACATTCCCGGGAAAGTAACTTTCCAACCATATTCCTAGTTATCATGATTTCTGGACACGAAAAAATTTATCCTCTACCAAACATCCCCTGTAATTCTTATCTATTTTATCTATCTCTATATATATATATATATATTTATATATATATATATATATATATATATATATATATATATATATATGAGGCAGGATCCTTTGACACCGGTGTCAAATTTAAAGTTTGACACCTCATTTGAGAGCCGTTAGATCAAAAAAGATCAACGGTGTCACATGCTTACAAATCATAGTCGTTGATCTTTTTTGATCTAACGGCTCTCAGATAAGGTGTCAAACTTTAAATTTGACACCGGTGTCAAATGATCTTGCCTCTATATATATATATATATATATATATATGGGCTTATCTATGAGAGAAGAAATCTCATGTTATAGACACATATATATATCTAAAAAATAAAAAAGAAAGAAAAGAAAAATATTGCACGGTTATCGAAGGATGTGTAGGAAAAAAACTTACCTTATGTGACATGAGAATAGTTTTTCCATATATATATATATATATATATATATATATATATATATATATAAAAACCTGAATTTCAAAATTCTGATGCATCAACTGATCAAGCTAGGCTTGTAATAAAGGCGGTAAAAAAAGGGAAATAGACCTGACCCATCTCACTATCTCCATCTGTTACCAGCACTGCATCCCTGACTTCATCTTCTGCTTTGAAACAAATGTGTAAGAACAAAATCACTAATACTAAACATAGCTAGTTAGGTACCCATATAAATATAAGCATTTTTGGATCGATATGTCATATTTATTTACCCTGATAATCATCCTCATCATCTTCTGTGGCAGTAGCATCTTTTGGAAGGAGATCTGGTGCACCATACCATCTCCTTAATTTGGGACCTCCTAAAAACAAAAAGAGAATCAAATGCAATAGGCAAAACTGGGAAAACAAAAAAGATAGAGAGTTTATATTAAGAACCAAAAAAATGGGATATGTGCAGAAAGTATCCACCTTCGATGTAATCTAGAATCTGGTCCACAAAACTGAGTTTCTTCTTAGCATGACACACAACAAGAATTGGAACAACAGAACCATTATCTCTGTTGAATAGTAAAGGGGAACCAAATGCTCTACTTGAACTTTGAGAAGTCAAAGGAACAGAATTTTGGATTAAAAGTGTGGAAGAAAGCGTAACAGCACACACCAACACCATTGTTGGCAGTGGCACCCTCCTCCTTCCTCCTCCAACCGTTTCTTCCCGCTAGAAAGGATAACGCATTACTTACCAATGGTGCCATTTCATAAATAATCCTTGATAAGAAATGCAATCTTTTTAATCTCAGCCGTCAAAAAAACTTCAATTCCATGATACTAACCGTTGGATCATATTAACCTAACTACTCAAAATCCCCCGGGCACCCCTTTTTCTATCTAGGATTTCCCATAATCAAATTGCAAACAAGAGGCTCAATTTTTCTTCGGAAGCTAACCAAAGATGGCGACCCAGATGAGCAAAAAGCGAAAGGCATGTCCCAATTTCCCTTGTTTCCCACCAACCAAATGGAAAGTTTCAATTTTTGTTTCTGGGTTTTTCTGCTTATGAGGTTGAAAATGGATCTGTTTTTTTTTTTAATTATAATGGTTCTATTTTAACTCATTGCAGTTCTGTTTGAACATTTAGAAAAACTCAGTTCCATTAAAGCATACTTAATAAAGGAGCGATCTGTATAATTTTTCCTTTTTGTTAAACTGTGAAATGTACAAGAAGCAGTGGCCATATTTAACAAGAGGGAGGTTACATTAAATTATTTTTTTTATCCATAAGACTTAATTCAAAAATATTTTACCAGAAAAATATAACGTAATCTGTAAGAGTTTATAAACAAAAAATTTGTAAATATAATATTCTATTAATAATTTATATAAGTTTTAAACATTTATTTTTTTAATATATAATCACATTTTTCCGATAGAGAGCACACTTGAAAAACTCGTATCTAACTCAATGATTTGATCTGTATAACCTTTCCTTTTTGTCAAACTGTAAAATGTAGAACAAGTGACGATCATTTTTTCATAACTTATTTGAGTTTTAAACATTTATGTATTTATCACGGCAAGCATATTTTTCCTTTATTTTGAGTTGATGTAGGGTCTGGGTTGCTAGACGCCAGCCAGACAATCCCGTTCTTTTATAAGATAAACTCGGTAATTTGCGCAAGTTTTTGGACGTAGTCCTTTACTTCAGTACATTTCGAGATCCTAATTTGAAAAGGAAATAATTATTTTGATATGACATTGTTTCCTTTTTGGTTCAATATTAATACCATGATATTTTTTTTTTTCTCTTTTGTGGATAGGATTGTTTGTAATGATCCACTTCTGATTTTTTTGTTCTTAAAACTGTTTTGTAAAACAATTATGGAAACAGTTGTTTTCTATATTTTTTTTTCTTTTTGAAAGTTAAAAACAAAAACAGAAAACAAAAACAACTCAGACATGTTCTTTGATTTTAAAAACAAAAAAAATAGTTATAGTTTTCAAAACATTTTTTTACAAAAGAGATGTTGTCAAACGAGTTTTTTAATTTTTTTGTTCTAAAAACTAAAAAACTGTTTTCCAGAATAGAAATCAAAGAGAGCCTTAATTGTTATACAATACAGTAGGGACAGTGACCGTACTGAGACGTTTTTAGAAATTATTTCCTTAGTTGTCATGCATTCAAAACAAATTTTCATAGCGATATATGGCCAAATATGCTACAGCAGTACAGCCAATAACACATTTGGTTTGTGCACGAATTAAACCATACGTGTTATGCCTAATGAGATCTATTGAGCTCACCTACGAAGTGCCATTAGATTGGATCCTTATTGACCCTTGGATAAGTCGGCCCATCTTTATAGGGCCAATATGAATCGACCAGAACATACAATATGTACGAGAAGATTCACGTTATTCAGTCTCTATATTTGTTGAGAAAAAATATTTGAAGCCGTATTTCTATTAGTGGTTGAATTTTATTTTCGTTAAACAATTTAATAAGTTTGTAGTTTCACTGATTTACCTATAATGAAAAAGAAAGGAAAATACCAAATGCTTGAATCTTGTGAGATGCTTGGTGGTAGGCAGTCAATCCTTACACAAATTCAACCCACTAATAGAAAATACAAAGAAAGTTCATGGTGCTTCGACTTGAGTCTATAACACTGATAATTGCTTTGAGGTTGGCTAAGAAGTTGCAAGTGTTGGGCTTGATAGCAAAACAAGTTTTGGTTTGTCACGGGCTCATGGTAATCTAACCATCTTTTAGCAGTAACTACTGCATGTTCCCAGAGAGAGAAGGAACCACCATGTTTTAATTCTGATTTCTGTACATTTGTTTAATTAAAAGAACGAGAAAAAAAAGGGGTAGTTTTATTAAAACATTTTGTAATAAAGAATTAATGTAGACATTCTTTATCACCTATCCATTTCAATACTTTCTAATCCTTATAAGAGTGAGCTAAATACCCATTCTATTTCAGGGTAAGGTATTTCAAAATCTAATCTATCAATATATGTATCACCCACAGAGCAAAAGTGTGGCTCAATAAAAAGTTCATCTTCCACCCAAATAAGAGGCACACGCGACCATAGTAGAAGTACAAAAAAAACACCAACGGATAAAAATTCCCTAGCAACTCTTTTTTTTTTTGGGTTTTGGGGGGGATAGCGAACTAGCACCAATGATTTAACTAGACATCATTTTAAATGTTTCATTACCTTAGTTTTCTCTAACATTCAGGAAAAGACTTCAATTTCCCAAGTCGGCAATGCATAAACTATAGATAATCAAACCCAACAACACATCAACTGAATTGCAGCTGACAAAAACAAAACCAAAACAGCAGAATCCTACAGACTAGAAAAGAAACCTACATTTGTCAAATAGAAACTATCCATTAACTGCAACATCTAGGAAGAAAAGCAGAATTACAAGATCAGCAAAGGCTCCAACAAAGATTGTCAATGATGGAACCTTGCTTATGTCAGGGGCGAGCTCTCTTGTTACTGCATGATGGACACTTGTATTGCTTGATATGCTCTGCCCTGGCAGGGGTGATCTTCACACATTTCCCATGGAACCACTTCTCACAAATGTCACAGCAAATCCAGAATTCATCAGTGCCATAATGCTCACCACATGCCCCACACAAGGTCTCTCCATGTTCATCCTCATCTTGCTCATCCAGCTCTTCATCGTCATCTTTTGGTTGCAATGCCTTTGACTGCCTACCCTGAGATTCTGGAGCCCGCTGCTCCACCAGCCAACAATTAGAATAGAAAACAAACTAGCTGAGTAAAAGAGAACCAGAAATATGACAACCCCACCACCTATAATATAAATCAGATATTTCTATACCAGCCACACAACTTTGTAACACATTTACAGAAATACATTCCACTAAACCATGACTACAAACAAAGACTTTGAAAACATTAATGTGATACCAATATCACATCCAAAAATTTAGTAAATGAAACTCCCACAATCTATAGTAGAACTCAGAAACAATTATAACAAAACCATGATACTCTGTTCAGATACTTTATCTCCCTTTTCATTTCCACATTTCTTACAGGAACAAGGGTGGCAGTTATAACTTAAAAGTCCAAATAGATCATTTAAACACGTGAGGAATACAAAAGGTTGGAAGTTAGTAAATAGATCCTTGTTCATTCGCCTACCATATTTAATCTTTTAAGTACAACAGCCTGCAAAAATTTAACATTGCAACCAAGTTTTTCATCTTAAAAGAAGGCGATTATGGATCAATGATAAAGTTGTTCATTTGTGATTAAAAGGTCACATGTTCGAATCCTAAAAACAGTCTCCTTGCAAATATGCAAGAATAAGGCTGCGTACAAATATTGCCCTCACTCACTCTTGCTAGTCGGGGTTTAATGAGAGTGGTTTTAACCAAGTTTTTCATCTTACTTAATTCACTTCTCTTTTGAATAAGTGAGCAAAGCTCAATTCTAAAGCACAAGTAACGTCAAGGGTAGAGTTAGTCCCTTTTCACTAATACCTCAGTCTTTTAGAACATGGCTTAATCTGAAGGGATTAAGTTGGAGCAAGATTATTGAAGTTTGAACACACCGTTTCCCGTGCTGGCTACTCTACATCTATCTTGAATTTCTCTTCATATAAACTTTCATCTTGCATGCATTCATGACAATCTGCTTTTCTATGTTATTTTCATTTAGAGCATAGAAGAGATACTACTAACCATAACTCCCTAGATTTTAGGTTAAGGGCTATATTTTGGAGATACCATGATACTAAACTCATATATATATATTATATTATATGTATGTAAGATAAATATTATAATATTGTGATAATACCATCCAATTTGATGCTAGATTTATCTTCTGAAGATAGAAATATAGTTTTATGACATACGTTATACAATCTTTCTGATATTTCAAATCCAAGACTAACTCCCCAAAAAATCAATTAACTCAATGACCATGGGTACTTAATTTAAATAGGGCGGCCTGTATCTACAAACAGACCACAACTGGAAATCAACTTGAGTTCCTCACTGCAACACAGAAATATGTGTGAAAAACATATTTATTTGTCAAGTGTAGTAGGTGTGAGGAGAAAAATCTTATTTACTGCTTTAGAGCTGGACTTAGATTTGCTGCCACTGTGGTTTGAAACTGAAGACTTCTCCTTAACTTGCTTCTTTGCTGCACCAGTAACAAGTTCAAATATTGTTGGCAGTTCATTGATCATATTGAAAAGGCGTTTCCTGCGTTACAAATGCAAATCATAAGTACATGGATGAATAAGAAACATATAGACAACGGAACCAATGTGATAAATCCAGGCACGACCCCAACTATTTCATTATTTTCAAGCATCTTAACATAAAATTTATAGTACGAGTATGAAATACCTGTCAGCTTTATCAAACCCAAATCTGGCTCCAAAATAGAAGGCAATAGCAAGTAACCATGCATCACTATGGACAGCAACTAAAGATAACCAGTCTTTTTCTTGCATGCCATCCCTAGCAAAGTTAATGCCCAGCACAGGCTCAGGAAGCTCTGGTGGAACTTCTTCAGCAGGTAAATTTACTTCCCACTGCTCACTAGGAAAGCCGTATAAGCACAAATTCTCCTTCTCTGAAAGAATGAAGAAACTGATTTATAAAACACAAGCACCAAATAGAATAACTATATAGAATACCTAAAAAGGAAAGCCTTATGATCCCTACAGAATGATGGAACTGAAATGTATATTACTTAAGAAACAATGAGACTAGCTCCTTACAGAATTCAGAAACAGAAAATGGTATATGACAAAAACATAAAATTGCAGAAAACAAAGGAAACTTCAGAGGTCTGCCAACTCAGAACCTCTATCCCCTTCCTAACCCTTTTGCTTAATTCATGCCTTCATGCCTACCTTGCACTATTTATCCTTCCCTCTTATATTCTCATTTTTCCCTAACCGAATTCTCATCTCCCACTACTCCTTGCCAGCTCAGCATTCAGTAATGCTCTAGACTTAACAACTTGAATACTCCCTTCCATTTATTTCCTTTTCCCCCCCTTCTCAGCCTTGTGTGTTTATCCTTCTACTGCTCATCCCTTTTCTTGTTTATCCTTATACTTCTCTACAGTATTTTTCTTTGCAAGCATTCAATTTACCCTAGCTATGTGTCAGGTTGGCAATGCAAATGCATTCCCCTTAAGGTCAATCAAAAGCCAGATTTGATAATCACATTTTAATAACAGAATAACCACTCACGGACCTTATGGGGAAAACATTGCACCATGCCAATCCCTAGTGTCATCTTGCCATTGCCCATTGTATACTATATCCAAACTTTACAACATGCTTGAATACTATCTGCAATTAGATTTAATCATTGAAGGCAACAAGTACTGAAACAAGTTATGGATATTTTGACTGATTATAACAAGGAATGCAGATTAACCCCCCCCCCCCCCCCCCACCACCAAATCAGTACTCAAAAATACCAATCACATGACAAAGAACAGTAAATTTTCATTTGAAAAACACAACTAAGCTACAAGTCAACAAGACATTGCAAAAGGAATTAGTATTGTAAAGACAAAGATGTGGTTGTGATCCAGCTTTAGTTCATATTCCTCAATGCAAAAGCCAAGAGAAGTGTAAATTTATCACGAGAACAGGTCACTTGAAGAGTTTAAAATAACAATACCGTGGTATAAGATTAACAGCAGCACATATATTAAAAAATCAAAGTGACAACAAGTACTCAAAGAACCAAGTGCAAACCCCAAAATGCAATAATAATTAAACCTACATTCAGAGCCAAAAAAATCCTTCAAACATCAAAATAAATCAACAGAATGATACATATTTATTAAATTTTAGAGAGGCCTTGATTGCATTCAGCCTTCCAGCAAGTTAAAAACCAATTGACTACTCAAAAACACAAATTATGTGGCATACAAAGACTACATGAAAAGAGAGTGTAACTGACCAGGATCACATTGGTTATAGAAATCTTCAACATCTGCAATAGCGTGACCAAACAGAAAAAGTTCATCAGTATAGAAAAGCTTTCATGACCTTCACACATATAAATTTTAAAAAATTAAATATAAAAAGATAGATACCATAATGAAGTACGGAATGTCATATTCGAGAATTAAAAAAAAAAAAAAAAACCCCATTAAACCCTGACTAACGAGAAAGGGGGTATGAACAATGAATGTACTCAGCCTTACCCTTACATATTTGCAAAAAAACTGTTTTCGGGATTCCAACCGTGACATTTTAGTCACAAAGATATTCAAGGATTGAGAATGAATATAAATATAAAATTTCCATAAAATTAATAGAAATTGACAAGAAGATATCCATCTTATAGCAATTACAGGTTAACATATAGTACAGCCTCCAAATCAAGTGCAAAGCAAACCAGTGTTAAGTATACTGAAAGGAAAATGATGAGAACAAAAGAAAGGGAAGTGAGAAACAACTGCCCTGCAACTTCCTTACAAAGCAATCTAATTCTCAAATCAAACAATACTTGTAAGCCACACCCACTACCGCCATAGTAGTTTCAGCTCCAAATTACGCCCTCCCAGTTTCAAACAGGTTAAACCCAGTGCCTCTTCCTCAAACCATGTGACAATGTCAATAGGGGACAGCATGAATTGTCACACAAATCAAATGAGATGAAAATTATCCACTGATAACCGTTCTTCCATAAGGTATTGTAAGTAACTATCAGTTTCATCCACATAACAACGTTAAGCAATTCATAAAATTTGAAAGCCAAACCCATTCACAAGGGAACTACAAGGTAACAACGCAAAGTTTAAAACGTACTCAAACACTAGAATTCGCACATGGCTTAGGAAAACTCTCATTTTTATCTGAAACTGAAGTCCAAAACATGAAAAAAATGTCAAATGCTCAATACAAACATCACACATTTTTTTATTTGAAAAAAATTATTAAAATTTCTCATTACACTCGTGAATATTACGGATAATCTTGTCAACAACAATAGCAGCATTACGTAGAAAACTAAACCCGCTCGGAATTTTTGTTGACCCATTAAGAAAAATTGAAAAATAAAATAAAAAATCAGACAACTTTTCATGCAAAGCACATTACTTCAGTAGGAAAAAAAAAAGTAATCAACACAGAAATTGAAATTAAAAACAAAAAAAAAACTGGTTGCATCTGTATACATATATGTATATATAATATACCGGTGGTTAGGGCTTTGATGAGACCAGCTCGTCGACCCTTGAAATCCCTAAAAACCTCTTCGACGGTGCGAGGATTATACTGTGCGCGCGAGTCCATTGTAGCTTCTCCTGCTCCTCCCCCAGTGAAATCAGAAGCAGCAAATAGATAAAGAGAGAAATCAAAAACGAAAACGAAGTCGTTTAGGTTCAAAGATATTCTGTGGTTGCAGAGCAAGTGACACTGAGGAGGAAGAGGTGGCTCTCTCTGCCTCTGCAAATTTTGTAATGTGCAATTCCCAACAACTATTTCTTTTCTTCCTTCTTATTTTTTTTATATAATATTTTGTAAGATGGTTATATTCTGCAAATTTTTTCATTTACAAACTAAATTATGCATTCCGTTGTATTTCGAAATACATAATTCGATTGCAAGAGTTTATAAATATAACGCTTCTTGATATTTTGATCGGAAACAAAATCACGAGGTTACATATGTCGAGGACCATCATTTTGTCATCTTCATGCAAATAAATTATTTCTTCATCAACATTGCATAATTATACCCCAAATTATCTTAATGCTATAATAATACAAGGGTTATGTTTATCTCATCTTACATGAAATAAACAACTTTTCTACATACACAAAAAAGGGTTGGATTTCACCACTCTTTTTTCTCTCTCCTCTTACCTGTAAGTCTCACTTATAATTTTATTTCTACAACACGAAGTAACTTTTTTTCTACAACATAAGAAAAGTATTTTCCATAATACAATTACTTCACTTTTTATTAGTAGTAAATATTTATAATTACTTATTAAATACTTTAAAAAAACTCAAAATAATTGTTATATATATAGAGAGAGAGAGAGAGTTATATGTTGAATAAGATAAGTAAGTTTCTTACACACACGAAATGGATGTGGATCTCACGTTTATTTTTTCTCTCTTTGAGTTTCACTTATAATTTTATTTCTCTAATATGAGATAATTATATTTTACAACATAAGATAAATATAACTTATATATATATATGGGATAGGATCTTTTGACACGTCAAATTTAAAGTTTGACACCTCATCAAAGGCTGGATCTTTTGACAACGTTGTCAAATTTTGAAATTTGACATCAAATCTTAACCGTTTATTTTTGCCAATCACCGGTTATCATTTATTGAAAATTAATAATTAATTAATAACTTTGATTCTCACTAAATGATAACCGTTGATTGACGGAAATCAACGGTTAAGATTTAGTGTCAAATTTCAAAGTTTGACACGAATATCAAAAAGATTCTATCCCTACATATTATATATTACACAAATAAAATGTCCTGAAAAATAGTACATAAATTTCTCACAAAAGGAGAAATCAGTTACTCTTTGGGCTGTACGAGAGATGAAATGGGAATTTGATCCCCCGATGACTCTAAATATGTGAAACTTGCTTATTATTTTTCTTATAAGACTGATTATTATTTTTGGTCGTCAGCAAATTTTATGATGTCCATTTTTGTCCCTAGCAAATAAAAAGGCCCATCGCGGTTCCTAAGAAATTCAAAATGGACTCATTTAGTTGAAATCGTGGTCCCTCACAAATTCAAAAAAGACCCATATTAGTCCCTAAAAGGACTAAAATAGGTCCATTTTAAATTTTTTAAGGACTAAGATGGACCTTTTTATTTGCAATGGACTAAAACGGGTATCGTAAAATTTGCAGATGACCAAAAAGAATATTTACTGTTATTATAAACTTGACAACAAGTCAACAATGTCACAATCCCAACCAGTCAGCATCCAAAAGCGATTTCTCTAAGGTGTTGTTTGGTTCACAGTTTTAGCCAAGTTTACTATGCAAATGAAACAAGGATTTCAAAAAACCAATGTTTGGTTGAATAGATTCAGTAGAAAAGGCCATCCATCCAATTTGCATTGCTTTTCAATTTTCTCATGGAATGACATCTTTTGGCACTGTTAAGAAAGCTTTTTTGTAGGTGATTTTTTGTTAAAAGATGGATAAACTACTGTTGTCTGAATTTTTTCACACCCATTATACCCTCTGAAAAGCAAGAGAGATGATAGGATTTTTGCTTCCTTGTGTGGTCTGCAACCGTTGTCTTCTTTGTGTGGGTTGAAGAGCACCTTTCCACACGGCGACCGGAAGAAAGCATCCATCCAATTAGAGCTTCTCGATGGCTACCTTCAGCTTGAGCCTATCGTCTTCTCGTTTCTTCAGTCTCGGAGCTCCGACTCGCTTCCATGGTTATCCGAACCAACCCGTATTACTGCCTCTCAAATGTTCCTCTTCTTCTTCGGATTCAGATACCGCCATGCCTCTTGACGGTTAGGCTTACAAGCTGACTGCAGGGCTCACCGGAATCGGATTCCTCGAAACCTCGTACCTCACTTACCTTAAGCTCACCGAATCCGAAGCCTTTTGCCCCGTTGGCGGCGCCGTTTGCTCCGACATACTCAACAGTGATTACGCCGTCGTTTTCGGTATCATAACCTTATAGCCATTTGATTCTATCAGAATTTCGATTTTGTGTGGATGAACTGCATTGCTGGTAAAGTGTTTGAAAGATAGTGTGAATGAACATTCTTTTGCATTTGGCAGGTGTTCCTCTTCCTATGATTGGGATGGCTGTGTATGGCTTGGTTGCTGCTCTTAGTCTCCAATTGGCTACAAATAATTTAGCTTTTGGGATTAACAAATCGAATGCTCAACTTGTATTGCTTGGAATCACAACCTCCATGGCAGCTGCTAGTGCGTATTTTTTGTACATTTTAACCACGAGATTCTTTGGGTCATCTTGCTCCTATTGCCTACTTTCGGTTCTATTGTCCTTCACCTTATTCTTTGTCACAGTGAAGGTTCATTTTGTTACATCCTTTGTCTTAGTGTTAACACTTCTTTTCCATGTTGTTGCCTGATTGGTTCTCTTTTTGAAGTTTCTGTTATAGGACTTGGATTGCAAGAGACGTATAAACAAGTTGGCCTGCAATTGTTTATTGCTAGCTTAGTGATTCTCACTCTGAACACCTCCTATAGCAATTCTAAATCTGCTTCCTCAAGGTGAATATCATTATCAGATAGAAAAAATTGATCAGTAGAGAGCTTTATTTGGGACTCTTTTAAAAATTCATTTTCATCTCTTTCAATCAACTGTATCTAAATTATCAAATTATAAATTATTTGTTTTCCATTATGGAATGCTTATCTTGGAACTTGTGGAGACAATCTAATGCCCCGTGAATTTGGAATAGGAAAAGGAAGATTTGGCACCTATTCTCTTGGAGAACATCGCAAAACTTCCTCCCCAACACCAGGAAATTATACTTAGAATGAATGTTAAGGTATCAAACATTCTGAGTCTTTCCATTATTATATGTCTTAAATATTCTATACCACTTCAATTGATGCTTTTCATTAATTTCATGGTTTATGGTTTGTCTTTCTTTCATGGCATATTACTTTTTGTGATGCTACTCAAGCTGGTGAAGTCCTTATTTTGGTCATGAGCAGGACTTGTGATCGAAGTGGTGTGGTAATGTGACTTGAAGCAGCCTGGCATGATTGACACCACTGTGAAGAATATTCAGAATTATTGTCTTCCAACATGCCCTCTGGATGACCACAAGATGTAAAATATGAGCCTGACATTGTTTGGTTTAGGGTGTATAAGTTCATTGACAGCGTTTTACTCAAATGCATTTATGTGTGTAGATGGATATTTACAAGCAACAGCCACTGTTATTGATTTATATAACAGCTTTAATGATGTACTCATTTGCTTCATAAGCACTTATTTCATATAATGTATTTATGTTCACCTTCGTTAGTAACTATGCCTCGATTTACTTTTTTATGATGTCAATTTTGTACTGATCTGGACCCTCCTACTACATAGATTCCAAATTAAAACGGAAGCCACAAAAAAATTGAAATTATGATGATGAACCATGCTTATATTTTAAAAAGAGACCAATTACAGATGATTTCATCGTCTCATGGAAGGATATCTTCAAATGCTTACTATTACAGATCACAAATCACAAATGCTTTACTTTATAAAGAACACTACAATATGTGGTGGTAATTCGGCCAAAACTGATACAGGAAATGGAGAGTAACTTTTCCTATCTTATAACATAGAAACAATAACATGTATATGGGCAATAAGTTCCAAAAAATATTACAACATGTCTGATACAGTAAAATTTATCAGGGTTATTTTTGTAATTTCATGCATCTTTCCCATCTATATTTTACTTACATCCAAACATAGACTTTATAAATATTACTTAATTTGCCCAGTAAAATTTATTCCAACCAAACAACTTTTTTTAACATTTTCCTATCAAACTCATTTTCCAACTATTTCTCTATCTATATCATTTCCCTATCATTCATAAAATTTCTTCGCAACCAAACGCCCCCTAGTATACAGTGGTTATTTAATTAATATTTATTAGTATAGTAGGATACACGATATTATTCATTATATATCATACGATTCATAAGCTAAGCAATATGTATTGTGAGATGTATCAAAAAGAGTTATACCAGATGATATAATAGTTTATCGTACGATATGATACTATATCATTAATCATACTATATGAAAATAAATTAATTTTTTTAATTTTTAATATGAAAAAATAAATATTTGATTTGTAATTTAAATTAAAAAACTACAAAAATTATTATTAATAAAGAAAAGAAAATAAAGATTTGATTTGTAATTTAAATTCAAAAATCAATATGAAAAATCTATATTAATAAAGGAAATAATTAAAGAGTATTTTTATTTTTTAGATTGTCAAAATCTTAGAGTTGACATGAATGATAAAAATTAAGGTGTCATCATACAAGAGCAAGATAATATCAACTGACTTGATAAATGAAATGATATTGCCAACAAGAATGATAAGAAAAAATGACCTAGATTATTGAACAAGAAATGAGATATGAGTCAAATGGTTACACTAATGAAGAGGGTGATAAATTAATTGTCACTGATAGATGATAATAATGATACTAGTGAAAATATTAGTGGAGAATAATTGGTTTGCAGTTTAGACAGTTACTTATGTATTTTGCTGATTAAATCTTTTTTGGAAATTGAATTTATATGATGATATTAAGTATATTATATATTTTTAAATTATTTTTTATTATATTTAATATTTTACGTTTCGATACGATTTGCGATTCATTATAAAAAATTGGTCAAATGATACACCACTACTAAAATAGTCAATTTTTTCGATTGAAATCAACGGTGATTAAATGGTTTGTAAGAGTTGTAAAAAAATTTTGTGCTAAGTTGATCTGTTCCCTAAAAAAATTACACAAACAGATGGAACTGAATTTGAAAATCATTAATGCAGGTCATTAGTTCGATAGGTTTGATTTTGCTAACCATAAAAAAGACACAAATATATTTTCTTTTTCATTTACTTTTTTAAAGATTTTCGACGAAATTAATTTTTCGTCGAAAATCTTCGACGGAATAAAAATTACGCCAAAAAGTCCAAAAAATATAATTTCTTTTTTTGTTATTAATTTTCAAAAGCTTTCGACGGAATTTCTTTTTCGTCGAAAATCTTCGATGGAATCAAAATTCCGTCGAAAAACTTAAAAAATATAATTTCTTTTTCTTTTCTTTTTTTTGAAAAATTTTCGACGGAATTCCTTTTCCGTCGAAAATCTTCCACGGAATCAAAATTCCGTCGAAAAATCCAAAAAATATAATTTCTTTTTTCTTTTATTTTTTTCCAAAATTTTCAACGAAATTCTTTTTCGTCGAAAATCTTTGACGGAATCAAAATTCCGTCGCAAAGTCCCAAAATATTAATTTGTTTTTCTTTTATTTTTTTCAAAAGTTTTCGACGAAATTCTTTTTCCGTCGAAAATCTTCGACGGAATTTCTTTTCTTTCAAAAATCTTCGACGAAATCAAAATTCCGTCGAAATGTCCAAAAAATATAATTTCCTTTTCTGTTATTATTTTTCAAAAGTTTTCGACGGAATTCCTTTTCCGTCGAAAATCTTCAACGGAATCAAAATTTCGTCGAAAAGTCCATAAAAATATAAATCTTTTTCTTTTATTTTTTTTGAAAAGTTTTCGACGGAATTCCTTTTTCGTTGAAGATTAAAATTCCGTAGAAAAGTCCAAAAAATATAATTTTTTTTTTTATTATTTTTTTCAAAAGTTTTTGACAGAATTCCTTTTCCCTCGAAAATCTTCGTCCGAATCAAAATTTCATCGAAAAGTCCAAAAATATATATATATTTTTTTTCAAAATTTTTCGACAGAATTTGTTTTTCGTCAAAATTCTTCGACGGAATCAAAATTCCGTTAGAATTTTTTGATGGAATTTATTTTCCGTCGAAATTTTGGATGAAAGCCGGATTCGGTGAAAAATTCTGTCAATAATTTAAACGGAATTTTTTTCGTCGAAAAATTCTGTCGATAATAAAAACATTTCTAGTAGTGTTGATGGTAGTGACCTCTCTTATTGGTGGATCTAGAATTCTTTTATTATTGGGCGAAAATAAAACACTCATCAAGTTATAAGTGTTATTAAAATTAATAGGAGGAGATAATTATCACAAATATTTTTTAGGAAGAGCCTAGTCATTAAAATTAATAATCTATTACTATTAAAAATATTATTATATATATAATAAAAAAAATTAAAATTTAGGATTGACCATCACCTATCCTTGTTACTCCCTAAATCCGCCCCAGCATTTTCCACCATCTTCTAGGTTGGGATGCAGTATCTAGGAATCTAATCAAATGGGAATAGCAAAGGCAATGCATTTTTCTCTGTCCCTTCCTCTGAATAGAACTCTGAGTTTGGGTCAACTCAAAAACTCGAGGAAAATGGTTCATAAGCTGATTAAATAAGTAATCAAATCGAAGATGTAATAGATATATTAATGATTTAAAATAAACTAATTTTTCTTGCCGTGCACTACAAGTTTTTAAAATTAAATAATTATAATTATGCATTTTTATTTATCATATAAATATTTAGTATATATCTGAATCCATTTATTTTCCTTTAAAATAATTTCATAGTCAAAATATTTTAAATATAATATTTAATTGATTAAAAATGTTAAATTTATAATTAGGAATGTAAATGGGTCAGCCAGACTAACAGGGTCTACAGCCTAGTCTATATCAGGCTAGACTCGACTCATTACATATAGTTAAATATAACAGGCTCAATCATAAAAAAAATGTCTATTTAGAAAGTTGACCATATGCTTTCTTTTACATGCTAGATCTAGAAGCCTACAAGTCAACCTATATCATATTATTTATTTTAAATAAAATAAATAAATGATTATTTTAATGATTTAAATAGTAAAGTATTATTGTTTTAATTTTTTTAAATTGTTGAATGTCTAACAGGCCTAGACTAAGACTTTCATTTTTTAAATATAAATCAATTTAGATTTACAATTTGAGCTATACAAGGCTAACAGATCAGGCAATGTCTAAAGTATTTAACACAAGCATGACCTTTTTAAGGCAAAGTCTAACTCAGCTCCGCCTATTTACACTCCTATTTATAATTTCATAAAATATAAGAAAAGACATATTTAAAATTTAAAGATTATATGATTATATTTCATTTTATTTATTTATAACAATATTTAGGTGTATTTTTTTTAACTTTATATACGTAATTTGAATGAAAGCATATCATTATAGTTATTTTGACATGTTGATTGAATTAATTATTTTAAGACATGAAAAATATTTACAATTGTTACGTTTTTGTGTTTTACAAAATAATTATCTAACTCATTTTTTTTTTTGTTACAACTATTCAATATTTTATTTCCTTTGTTATAACATTTTATATTAAATGAAACTTCTATTCTTTTTTATTGTACAAAAGTAGTCTTAATTAGTTGTTAGGTAAGAAGTCCCTAGCTAGCAGCTTGGCAGAACTTATAAAAGAAACAGCCCCAAAATTTTCGTCCCCCTTTATAGTTTTAGTACTGCTACGATGTATAGATTATTCACTTTCGCGTATCCAATCACGGGTTATTGCAATACTCTGAACATATGCAGTCAGTATAGCAAATCGAGTCATATTGTATTACATAATTTTAACAATTCTTGATATCTCAGTCCTAAACTCGTGATTTGTTAATTGTATTTCTCTTTTTCTTTACTATTCAAGTATTTCTGTCATATTTTTGCAGATAGAAAAGAACCAAAAGTAGAATAACTCTACCAGAAACACTTCAGCTAGCGTTTTATTTGCTTTGAAGACAGCATTGAATATTAAATCTATGAACTCCCCTAAACTACTAAAACTTAGATACACAGTATAGTTGATAAAATAAAAATTTCAGCCAAGTTCAAGCAGACCATCCCGAACTTTGGGTAGATGATCACATGAAATTGTGCATCAAATAAAGTAATTTATGTTACTAGAATTGTGTGAATGGCTTGACAACAATGTTGGCATCAACTTAAAGGCACTCCTTCAGTAGCAACACAAAAGGCGAAAAAACTTCTTCAGTAGCCAATACATAAGGCGACAGAACAGTATGAGACACAGCAAAACAACTAAGACCACCCAAAACGCTGCATAATACAGGGCAAGGCGATTAAGTGTTCCATCAAGTGGATGCATTACCATCCAAATAGAAACAACATATGCTCCTGCTAAGCAAATTACTGAGATGCACATAACTATTATGAGCAACCACATAAGTAACCTGTTACGGAGGGGAATTCCACAAAGCAGTAGTAGGATTACGGTCTGAGAAGCCGAGAAAGATATGGTACATAACAATATGAAAATCTCATATTTTAACTTTTGGTTGCTATCACCACCAAAGGCTAAAACAGAAGTACCAGCTTTGCATATGTGACCAGGACCACAACCTTGTTGGGTGTCTGTGTCTGATTGCCATACACCCCCTGGTGGGTTTATGGCAATTTGGAAAGTCAAGGTTGCAATAACTGTGGCTACCACCATAAGGGAACCTCTCATCTCTTCCATCCAATGCCTTGGTTCTTTTTCTCTATGATTCGCCGCACTTGTTGGTAGTGACCTTCCCTCCATTTTTTCCCTTAGTCTTCTTCTCTGTTAGGATGAAAAATGAGAATTTATTCTAATTGGAATAGCTATGGCTATGCATTTTCTCTGATCCTTCATTAACGCTATAGAATATTCGCCACAACATGTAGTATCACAATTCAATCTTATGGGAATGCCGCAGCCCATGTATTTTCCGTGATCCTACCTCTAAATAAAACTATAGGTTTGGGTCAACGTTATTATAGTGTCAGAAATTTGCTACAAAAGTCAAAACTGGCGGCGATATTTTAAAAATGGATTAAATTCAAATACTAGAGCAAAATTGATGGCTATTATTAGTTTAGCTTATTTTTTTGTTAAATTATTGAATATTAAATATAATATACACTACATAAATTAAAAATATTATCTAATATCAAAACGTATCCTAACGTGTCGAAATCTAACATTTTTTAGAGTTAACATGTCTGAGTGTCGTGTCGTATCTCGTGCCAGTATCGGTGCTACATAACTTATAACTATGTACTCTGCGGATTACATAGTTATAATATTAAAGTTATTTTTTCTCTCTACATCACCCGACAAGCTTCTTTAATGCCTCTGGCAATTAAAGGTCTAATCAACCGTTTCTAAGTGGTAGGCTAATGATGGTATTTACATTGACAGAATTAATCAATGCGAAATGAAGTATATAGAGCATAGAGGGTAATAGTAACTCATCACGCCAAGTGGCCATGGAATATATCTTTAGCATCTCAAACCCCATGCTATAAGTATAAAGCTGCGAGTTGAGGGGCAACTGATCTAGATAATATATAAACCCATAAGGTTTAAAGCCCAGAAAAGGCCTAAGAGGGCGCAATGATCCCATTGCGCGGAATGCACATGCCAAACATTGCACAGACAGTTATGTAAAGCCGCCTTATACAACTTAAAGACTAAGAAAAGTCTCAATAACAAGCTGAGTTCCACCGTACATAAGGGCCAATGTAAGTATGACAACTCCAGTTTGCCACTTCTCTAAGAAGACATGCTATTGTATAGGCTTGTTCACCAAGGAAATAGCTAGAAAGGCACCAACTGAGACAGAAAGACAGTTGCTCACAACAACCAATAAGAAGGTATGCTGCCTACAAAAGGCGACACAAAACTTGCTATAAATATGAAAGGTACAAATCTAAGTATGATCATCTGATTCTAATTAACTACACTAAAGACCTAGCATTTATACTGACTTAAGCGTCATAGTATCTTTGCAGGTACTCCAGTCACTTCCATTGCGCTAGAATCTCTTTACAGCCCTTACAAAAAGATGCACATACAAATATAAATTCAAGCCCACTTGTTACAATTCTCAGTCCAAAGTCTTTAACCTTCAATTGTGTGTGATTTGACCCGACCAATCTTGGACCGAAGTAGTAAGCTTGTTAAAAGCTGGCATTCGCCAAGCAAAGCTGATAATAACGTTTAATATACTGTTAAATGATCCTATGGATGTGATTCAATTCGTAGAATTAGGACCCAATACGAATTGGTCAAACAAGGCAACTGCACATATTAACATTTTGTGAACTATTTTGATCCCATACCTATGCATGTTTCACTATCTAACTGTGATTGATAAATTGAGTTTCGTCCTATATGTATTTCTGGTGAAGCATTATATTGTGCCAAATGGAGACTTAAAATCCATAAAAATATGCAACTGTGTTCATGTTTTAAATAACCAAGTAGTGTTGTTTGAATCACGAATTTTAATTGAAAATACAAAAAATAATAATATTTTTTACTAAAGTCCTGATTTAAAAATTGTAACAACAAATTATGATTAGAGGAAAAAAAAAATAAGTGGTGAAATATAACAAATTCATTTTATGATTTTTCATTTATAAATTGTGTTACCATGTCACATTTGTACCATTTTGTATTTTTTATTAACAGTTTTTTTTTTTAATCTAATCATATTTGTTTCTTTATATAACAGTCATTAGTCATTTAATTTTCGTAGGGTGATTCCTGCGTGCAAAAAGTTAATTCTTGTGTGCAAAAAAATGATGTGAAATATTGAGGAAGATATCCACTAGGGCTAGCCTAGTGGTGTGGGTGTGTGTAATAGGGTGTGTGTGAGTGTGTGTTCTATTCCCTGTAACCTAAAAAAAAAATATTGAGGAAGATACCGAAAAACCGAAACAACTTGACTGACTTATAGAGGAAGAGGCCAAAAGGCCCAGAATAACTAGACGCAGAATTGGAAATTTTAGTCCGATGCAGCGTGTTGAATAAAACGCTCGTGCAAGCCTATGCAGCTTGGCACGTGGTAGATTTTGGGCTAGATTATGCGCCCGATGTGAGGACCCATTGTGTTGGTCCATAACAATACGCTGGCACTATGGAGCTCGGCACTGGTTTTTTACTTCCCAATATTGGAAAAAGTTTTTCATGTTAAAATTGGACTGTGTTTCTTTGTCTCCCTCAATTCTGCACAATTTCATTTGCTGCGTGTTGGCCGACGTGATGACTTCATGCCGACATCTGATTGTTGAGCTCCGAGCTCAACGTGCTGACTTGAGAACCTTAAGAGCTGACTTTGAAGGACCGACTTATCCCAACAATACTTACATTGATTCAGTTGTTGGCCGACGTGATGACTTCATGCCGACATCTGATTGTTGAGCTCCGAGCTTAACGTGCCGACTTGAGAACCTTAAGAGTTGACTTTGAAGGACCGACTTGTCCCAACAATACTTACATTGATTCAGTTTACCAAGATCGAATGATTAAAACTGACATAGAAAATTGATGATTTTAAAAATATTAATCTGCACCTCTTCAAAATTAAACTGTAAAGAACCAATTCAACCCAAGCTTAAGCTAGCGGGTGAGGGTTTTTAAATGATTTATACTATTCTCTAACACGCCTCCTCACACGAGAGCCCACTGAGCTTGAAGGGTGAATAATGCACAGGCCCACCTACCTGTGTTAAGAAAATTTCACAAGAGAAAGTGGGGGGCAATGAGGATTAAACTCGGGACACGAGGCTCTGATACCATGTAAAGAACCTTGAGATACACCACTCCAAAAGCTAGCTCAAAGGGTGGGAATGCCCAAAGCCTTATAAAAGTCATATTAATTGCACATACAACCAATGTGAGACTATATATCTCAACATAAACGAGCTGCTCTGGTTCCACTCTTGGTTGTATAATTGTACGTACTTTACAAATAATAAATTAGGGTTATATTTCTCTCATGTTGTTGGAGATAAGTATCTCCTATCATAGATACATGAAGTGGTGGGGCCCATCACTCATTAAAAAAAAAGTGATGGCACAACTTTTTATGTGAGAGAAACATGAGATAATTATCTCATGCAATGTTGTCAAACTCGAGTTTCTACGTAGAAACGAAAATAGGTGGTAGAAACGTAAAACGTAGAAACGACACGAAAAGTAAAGTTTTTATTTTCTACTACTTAGGGTCCAGATACAAAATTATATATCTAAAAAGGAAAATTAGTTTTGATAACCAAGTATCAAAATTATAAACAGTGATAACTAACAAATAATGGATATCCAATATGCTCTAATTGCTTCATACACTGCAGATTTTGGATCATCACTCATTAGGATATAATTTCACTTCTTTCAATGCACACAATGATCCAAAAACACAAAACGATTCTCATAGCAGAACTTATAATAGAATTGTAGCTTTATAAGACATAATTATAAAAGACATATATCCAAACAAAAAAGATATCAAGATACTATGCATATGATTTGGGAAAAACGAAAATTAGGTTTTTTTTAATATCTTTTTTGTAAATCTTTTTTTTATTTTTTTTCGTTTTAAGTAAAAACGGTAAAAACGTAAATTTTTACCGTTTTTATCAGTTTTTACCAAGGACATATTTTACTTGCGTTTGAACACGCATCACTCTAGTAAAAATATAAGTTTTTATGTTTTTATACTAGTTTTTGACAACAATGATCTCATGTAAAATAAGACAATGATTTTCCAATAAATTATTAATCGAATGCTACAATTGATACGAGAAGCTTTAGGTGAATCAAGCTATAATTATTCCACAAAAGATAAAGTATATAGGAGAACCTTAGACAAAGTACAGAAGCACAATTATTCCAATATATATTATACATGAATAACAACAGTCTTTCAAACCAACCAACTACCACATATACAGTCTCCAATATATGACTACTGGAGAGCAACATTAACCTCAAGCAACTAGGAAGTTGCAGCCATTTATTCGACCCGGCCAAAGATAAAGCAAGAAAATCCCTAGCTAGCTAGACAAGGTATTAAAAACCAAATCTACTATGACATATTGAAAGACAGGTTTATTTAGATATGATTGTTGCAAAACAACATTAATCTCAAACCACAAGGAATAGGAAGTTCTGCGCATGCATGCACGATCGACTAATTAAACTCTCGTTGTTGCTGGCGATTAGGCTTTTTGATGCAGTTATCCACATACCAACCAAATAAGCGTATCAAGAGGAGAAAACCAACTACTACTAACAAGCCAATCCAAATCGTGAGAACCCAGGCAAAAATATCCTTAGCTACCAAACCGGCAGTGGATGGGGTGACCAATAACATGCCATACAAGTATGTAAGAGCGAGGCTTGTGATAGTGATGCACATGCCTATTGATAAGAGCCAGATGGAGAGTCGGTGATTCAGAGGGAATCCACTTACAAGCAAGAGACAAACACTCAAAGATGCAACGAAACATATTGTATTGCTTGCCAAGAATCTCACATAACGGTCTGGATTTATAGCAGCTAACACAGATTCCCCAGGGCATGGACGATTCAATCTTTTGTTTAGTGAACAAACTGCTCGAACATCTTCATCGTCACTTGGCTGAACCACGCCACCTGGTGGGTTAGTAGCAAGTTGAAAGCTCATAGTTGCGATTATGGAAGCCGCCATACTTATGTTCCCTCTCATATCGTTCAACCATTCGCTCTCATCTTTATATGTCAACCAATCTAGAATCCTTCGCCATCCTTTCTTTGGGGGTGTATCTTTTACAACAATACTATGGTTTGCGGATGGTATTGACGACCCAGGAAGGTTCATTTCAATGTTCATAGTAATTAATTTGCCTAACCTACAAGAACTCGCACAAAAATCCTGTGAAAGATCGATGACAGCAGA